AATTATGGGAAGTTGACAGTCATCACGTTTATCATAGAGCTTGATTGTTATATTACCATTAACGACTTTTTCAAGTAAAATATCCAGATTTGAAACACATATGTGTCAGACTCGGTGGTGTCTTTAAATTCAAGCTCACAGAGATATATCGTATCGGCATAAGAATGGAAATTACCATTGTTAATTTACAATACGTCGTCGATATTTCTAAATGTTGAGTTGAAGGCCACAACAAGTGTTTTCTTCTTTTTACACATAAGTTTTTGGACAAATTCTGCTTCATATGAATACAAAAAACTGGAAATATTTACAATTATTTCTTTGTTTGTACTTTCATATTGTTTCAGCAAAGGACTGCAAAATATCCGTGGAAGGTCTGGAATACAGAGGTAACATTTCAGTGACTGTTTCCGGTAAATCATGTCAGAGGTGGGACAGCCAGACTCCACATTCACATGGTTACGCCGAGCGACTTCCGGGGAACGCCAGTGAACACGAAAATTACTGCAGAAACCCAAAACCTGGAATGGAAGCTACCCCATGGTGTTATACAATGGACCCCGATACAAGATGGGAGCTTTGTCAGATTCCATTCTGTGGTAATGAATGGCTTTTGTTGAATTTGTATATTGTCAGATATTGAGATAAGCGTTTTACTTAAAGAATAGGTATATTATGTACTCTACAAATAACAAACATTATCTGTGATGTAATACAGAAGATCCAGATATAGACTATAATCGGGCAAATTGAGAGAAAGCAATGATTTAAGGAAATTGATGGGTTGACACAAAACAGTCACTGAACACCCAGAGACATGATTAGTTTGACCATTAATTTTTGTTATATTATGTTCTGAACAGCTCCCATGCGCTTTTTGTTTTGTTTGTGAACAACGCTGTTCTAATAAATTTTTACTACATCAATCTTAATGGCTCCTGTTGAACATATCCTTATTCATAATTTTTAAAGACATGAAGACATTGTTTAAGGTTTTCATCGTCACAATTTTAATGTTTCAAAGTACTAAAACAGCAATTATTTTCATTTACTATAGTGTAAATTCATCAATTATTGCAAAAAAAGTATAGGTTGCCATTTTATTTAAGATGGGAGATATATATATACATATACACACTGAAATTTATATCAACATAAAAATCGTACATTTTTTGTAAGTAGTATTATAAAAATCGTGTAAAATTGTTTTAAATGCATAATTCTGAAAGACCTGTATATTTGCTACTTATAAGATACTTTTGAATTTTAAATATCAGGGAAACTATTCATTAGAAGTACAATAGATATGAAGGTACATGAGAAGGAGTTAATACCCTTGTCAACATTTTCTAAAGATTGAATAATTGATTAAATAAAGAAAATATATTTTAAAAAATCTTTTACTTAACAATATTTATCATCACACCAACTGAAAAGCATTCTTTCAAAAGATATTGTTCTATTGGGTATAAATGTAAATTAATAACAGTTTTTGCAAAAACCTATGACATCATACGAGGATGGAAATACCTTAATACCAACCTCTTCGCAATAATGCATTTGTAAGTGTGAGTAAGAAGAATATATATCTACTGTCTGAAGTGCTTCCATAGAGGTTGGAAGGTGTCTGTAGTCCGCCTTCTTTATTTTCTATACCCTATAGAAATATAATTGAATTTTCTTTAATTTCATATACCAGGGCGTCTTAATAGTCATTATCACTCGTATGTATATAATCATAAAAAACTGAATTTATAGAGACTTTGTATTAACATTTCAAGTGCTAGACTGTAGAAAAACCAGAGAAGGGATGGAGTACAGAGGAAACAAATCTACTACTATTTCTGGAAAGACATGTCAGAGATGGGACCAACAGTCGCCATGGACCCATGGTTACACTAAGGCATTGCCTGGTAACGCCACTCTGCACGAGAATTTCTGCAGGAATCCGCAGTCTAAGGACGCAGATGGCCCCTGGTGCTTCACCACGGACCCCTACACGAGATGGGAATACTGTGATGTACCTTTCTGTGGTAATAAATTTTTCCCATCCACATAATTCACATTTCAGTTAATTAACTTGAGTTCTGTTTTTAAAGCATTCAAATAAATGCAAATTAAATCGATAAAATGCGAATAAAAGAACAATCTTTAAATGAAACTTTTATTTATTTTATATCTAAATAAAATATGTACATGTATTTATTGGGAAATGTCAAATAACATTGATCTGATATAAAACATTCCTTTTGAATAGAGCTCTGCTTGAGTTTTCCAGTTATTAAATAATTAAATAAAATGCTTTTACATTTCTATTATATAAATAACCTAAATGCATGTTTGTTGGCACTGATAAAAACGTAAAATAAAAATGGAATTTAAGGTAAGTCACTCCTGAAATTTGTTAAATCAAGGATTTTTTAAGAATTATATTTCGGATAAGTACTCATATAGAGCGACTCAAAATCGCAAAGAAAATAGGGGGTCAGTGTTCATCTTACTGATTTACGGTACAATGAAGATGACCTTTTTGTGCTTAAATTTTATTTCTTTGGTTAATTACTTTAACCTTAATCATATTTTATCAGATGTAACCATGACAATAAATATGATTTTTTTTTAACGTAAAACATTTTGAATAATTTTTATTATTCAACAAATCTTCCAAATTAATGCGCTTTAATTATTTTGTGACCATTTTGCACTAAAAAGTAACATATTTGGGGTATTAAAAAACTAAATAGGCAATAAAACATTTTCTTAAATCAAGCTTTTTACGACTTAAGTTCTGATCAGTCACAAGTATCGAGTACTTTAAAATAATGAAAGAAAAAGTTTGGGTCAGTGATGTTAATTTTGAAATATTGGTCAAAATATGTGATTTTCAGGCAAAAAATGTTGTAAATTTAATCTTGACTTATTTGACATATTTTCATTTTTTGGCAAAGTTTGTTGAGGGAAGGTGTAAAACTTGTTCTAAAAATATAAATTAAGACCAATATTAAATATTCCTAACAATATCATATTGGAAAATATTCTCCAAGTAAAAGTATGTGAGGCTAAAGTTCCAAGATTTTAAATTTAATAAATGTGCAGATTTGCAGAATTATCCGCTAAATATCCTTCCACCACAAGAAATAGTCCCTCATAAATCTTGCTTCTTTGTAGCTTGTGAGCAGTTTTTTCGTTGAATGTCAAAACATTAACATTGCTGAAATTAAATATGTTATAAAAATTGAATTCTTATACATAATTTTGAAGTAAGAGGTTCTGCGTGAACTTTTCTAAAAATCTGACGAGTGACATACCTTAATTGTAATGAAAAAATATGGATAATTGCATGATTTTTTTTTACCTTGTCAATAATATGTTTTGAAGATAAATCGTCATTATATATCAATAAAAAAATCTGGGAATGTACACTTAAAAACCCTCTTTCAGCAAAATGAATAAACCTCCGTATATTACTTGGACATTCATTTCTAATAAGACTTTATTCTAGATCAATACAGATATATGAACATGCAACAGTTAAACGGGAATTGCGAAGTCATGTCTAGGCTATCTCTTCCTTAAGCGGTACTTTTAGTACCTGTTTTACGTTAACTCGTTGATAAAGCAGAGATTGCCGGTAAATTGGACAGAAACGACAGACAATTAGTAAATGAAGTGAACATTTCATGTAAAGAGCATAATAGAAGTAATGCAGAGGTAAACGACCATTTTATTGAGACAAGCAAGATGGACACTGACATGCCATTTGTTCTTGTAATACACCTAGCATTTACGGTTAATTCATATTGTGATATTGCTTAACATCAATTATTGAATTGTTGATGATTTTCAATCTAGCATTTCTAAATGGTTTAAAATTTAAGCATAGCTTAAGTTAGGTTACTTTTATATCATTTGAAACAAAACTATATTTAAAAAATAATACAACTTCCTTTTAATTTTCTTAAATAAAAAAAATTATGAGTATTAATGCCGTCCATTTACTATATCTTGATTGTCTTTATTTCTTAAAAGAATGTAGAGACACGATTAAAGGAGAAGAATACAGAGGCACCATCTCCCATACCGATAGGGGGCGTGAATGTCTTAGATGGGACAGCCCCTTTTCTCCAGAACCATTATTTGCCTTGTTTCTGGAGGGAAATTCGAGTTCGCATGAGAATTATTGCAGGAACCCTGCTAATCAAGGCGAAAAACCTTGGTGCTTTACAGATGCATCGGGAAAGTTTGCAGAATATTGCAACATCCCGATGTGTTCTCAAAGTAAGTTTTTTTAATTTCTCCATTAAAAGTTTGTTTGTTGGTTGTTTAACAAGACACAAGTTGTGATTTTTGTTTCTTTGATGTATTTATCGAACAAAGCTACTGAGTAATTAAATATAATAAAATACGGTGATAATGAACAATAATCAAAGTGAAACGTCCACTGATACAATACAAATCTACGAAAGCCCAGAAGGCTCATTCGAGATTCGAGTTTCCAAATACGAGATTCGAAATTCGAGATTCAAAATTCGAAATTCGAGATTCAAAATTCGAGTTTCGAGATTCAAGATCCAAACGAACCAATCAAAAGCGGGTTCAACATTTGATTATTTCCCTTTATTATGTTTTTACTATCAAGAAATAATTCAATATAATTATATCAAATGGGTCATTTCATTAAATTACAATGCAAGAAAAAGTGTTATATATATTAGAGGGAAATTTAAATAATTAATGGATTTTTGATCCGCAATGAATATTTCAATTTATATTATAGATTCTTAAATATTAAATAGATTACATATATCAGGAGTATATAATTATATTTTTGTATTGATGACAAATTACCGGCCGCCAGGAGATGGTCGGTTATATGATATGAAAGTTCGAAGTCGCTTTGCGTTTCTGCGGAGTTAAAACAATTTAAATAAGAAATATATTAAAAAGACGGTCTTAAGGTTAAAGAAAAACGCACAATAAACATAAAATTAAAAATTCTTATGAAGAATGAGGTAAATAATTCATCCAATACTGACTTAGAAATTTAGATATGTTTGAAGTGCGGAGAAAATTAAGACATGTGTTGGGCGTAGTCTAAATCAAAGACCGCGTTATGTATATTACACAATTTTACTTTCTCTATTCAAACGGGATTTGTATTACGTATTTATTTTAAAATGACGTGTACATATGTACACATATAAACATTTTGAAAAATATGGTTAAATGTAAATTCATTAAGAGACTTAGCAGGCTACAAAATATTACAAGATTTACGAGGATAATGCACGTTTAACAATGTGCCAAGAATTTTTCCGCTACAACTCAAAGAGAAGAAATGAAGTGGCGGATCTAGAGGGAGTTTAGTTTTTTCCTCTAAGAGAGAGCAAGGAATTACCAACATATTTGCTGCATTTTTATTAAATTAAACTACACTGCATATCTAGTTGTAGATTACATTTAATTTTAGTTTTAAACTTTTAATGTAAATGCCATACAGGCCCACGGTTCAAAAGTTGTTGACGCAGAGTACCAGGGGTTAATACTGAACATGCATTATATAATTAAGAAAATCATGCAATGTAGAGCACAAGCTTTTAATATCACGAGGATATATATTAAAAGATAAATAAAAGATATTTTAAAAACAGACCACCATAGTCTTTAGTTGCTTCATAAAAGGAACATTAATTGGTTTGCGGCCGATTTTTGACGCTTACGTCAATACATGTTTCTTGTCTTAATTTTTAGAAAAACACAGGTACGTGTGGACAAGACCCCCCCCCCCCTTGATATTGAACCCCGGGGCTTATTTCTCTGTTATGTGTAGCCTTACAATACGAAAAAAATCGCTGGCGTAAAACCCCCAGAATAATCGCTTAACCAAAAAAACAAAACAAAAAAACACTATTTATTACCCCACTTTACAAGAAAGAAAGCTGTTTACGGAAAAAATGTGGGATTATTACGTGATGCAGAGTCAGTCCGATAGCATGGACTAAGACAGAAATCAGTGGCAGATTTAAGGGGGGGGGGGGCGCACCCGGCGCGCGCCCCCTTAAAATTGTCCAAGTTAGCATAAAACATAGTTTGTCGAGAAAATGTTTTAAATGTCTACTCGGTAGACCTCATTTTTACCCTACAAAACCTCTAGAATCCAAGAGCTTCCGGGGCCTTCGCCCCCTGGGCCCCCAACAGGGCTTTGCCCTGGACCCACTGGGGGCCTCAAGGCGGCCCCCAGACCCCCTGCCTGAATCTGGCGCCCCCTAACTTCAATTCCTGGATCCGCCCCTGGAAATACATTGTATATGTAGAGACAGTGTGAATCGACATATAAAGTTAAAACAAAATAAATGCATTTAACACCAGTGGGGGTACAACGTAAACAGACTGGAGTGGCATATCCTTCTCTTATAATGTATAGTGGGTATTTGGGGGGGGGGTTGTTGAGCGATTATTCTGGGGATTTTACAATTTTTTGTTATTGTATACATGATGAATAAGTTTAATAAATAAAACTTGTGAAAAAAATGTCCAATAAGCCCTAGGGTTGAATGTCGAGGGGGGTGGGGGGTGGTACCTTTCACAAGTACCTGTGGTTTTCCTAACACAGGAAATGCATAAAAATTAAGTTTAGTAGACAATTCAAAAATATATATACTCCTGATATATGAAATCTATTTAATATTTAAAATAAAAATATTTTTTGCTGATCAAAATTCCATTAATTATTTAAATTTCCCTCTAATATATATAACACTTTTTCTTGCATTGTAATTTAATCAAATGACCCATTTGATATAATTATATTGAACTATTTCTTGATAGTAAAAACATAATAAAGGGAAATAATCAAATGTTGAACCCGCTTTTGATTGGTTCGTTTGGATCTTGAATCTCGAAACTCGAATTTTGAATCTCGAATTTCGAATTTTGAATCTCGAATTTCGAATCTCGTATTTGGAAACTCGAATCTCGAATGAGCCTTCTGGGCTTTCGTACAAATCGGATTCAAAGCAGACACGGACGTCTAAAACATTAAAGGTGGGCTCAGGTGTTTTAACATAATAGTTGTTTAAGAGGAAAAGGTGATTCTGCAGGTGATGCTGGCGCTTTTTAAACAGCGATTTTAATTTTCAATTAGAAAATTCATATTTTGAATTCGTCTTTTAGGTAACAAAGAGTGCTTAGACAGCGCCAAAGGTCAATATTACTTTGGAACTGTATCTAAAACCGGAGATGGTATAGAATGCCAACGCTGGGACAAATTACAACCACACGATCACAGGTTTGTCTATGGATTCATGGGACTGTCCGCTTCTGAACACGAGAATTACTGCAGAAATCCCGACAACGGGGAGAGACCGTGGTGTTACACAGTGAACGAGACAGTCC